AACATTTGACTTGTGAAGTCAGTTTGGTGATAGGACTGACTGTAGCTGTAAGTACAGGTATATAGTCATAATCAGTAAATGATATCTATTATTCATATTTTTTCTCAAGTTCCCGTGATATGGAGGAGGAGATCCCAAGAACTGAGGATTACCCAGGCCCTTCCTCTTCTCCATATCTAGAGGACAGCATCATCTAGTCATCATTTACTTGCAAGACTTCTCCAGTGAAAACCCACTGTGTTTGAACTCACACTGTCCCCTAAGGAGAATTGAGAGTCCATTATGTCCTTGCATTGATTGAGACTCACTACAACTTTTGGTTCCAACTGAACAATTTCCTGTTCCAACAGAAGGGAGACTCAATCAAATCAAAGAATCTGGGTGAGAAATGTGATAAAAAGAACTTTAGGAGTTTTCAGGAGTTCTTTTATGTTCTCTTTTTTTTTTTAGAGGTTTTTGCTATAGGGCACGTGCGGTCACCAGACAGAGAGAGACAAAGAGACAGAAAGTGAGAAATCACCCCCCAGGGGGGATGGCCATGCCACAATCCCATCTTCTCCATTCTCCTCTCGGGATCTTGGGTATGCACGCACACGCGCCCGGCATGTTTTAAGCCACCAGGTCCAGGACACGAACCGTGGTCGACTATGTGGGAGTCCAGCAACATAGCCATTACACTAACTGCTGGTCCTTCCTTTTATGTTCTCTTCTCTAGTGTATAAGAGAAAACTCAGAAATATAGGCTCTGCTAAAATCTGTATAAGTACCATATTCTTTAATGATATGACATTATTTTATTTATACTAGTTCAATACAATGCAATTCTGGTGAGCTTTAGATCCAGTTTCACATCTAGGCAAAAGTTACTGCCAACACAAAAATGACTCGATTTTATAAGAAGTGATGTATAAAATACATAAAATTAGACAATAAATCTCAAACAAATTGCCTAGTTTCATGACTGTACTTCATAGAGAGGACAGGTTTTAAGGAGATCTCAAAGTGGGATGTAGAAGTCACACATATTAAAACTTTGATCAGATAATTCATTTTCTGTGGGAATGTAAATGACCGGTCAATAACAAATAGGGTCAACTAGAAATGTTTATTGCTCAGTTACTGAAGATGGTGACTCAGCAGCAATAATTAATTTTGTTCCTGGCTAATTGGAAGAACTAGAGAATAAATGCTTAAAATTCTTTCTGTACTGGGAGACTCTAACTCTCCCTGTGAATATACACAGCTAAGCTGTGCCTACAGATTGTTATGTTATTTATTTTAGTTTGAGTTTATCCATGACTCAAGCTCATCTTCATTTTGCCCTCAGATAGGAATCTCTCCATATTACCATAACATTTTATTCTGAACCTACTGGAAAGGCAATTAGTCACTCATTATAATACAAAAAAAAAGTCAAATTGGATACAGTTATGTATTCTGAATCCAAACCATACCCTTTAATGTAGATAATTTAAGATTCTATATTTAAAAGGCATTGAGTGAGTCATAATGGTAAATAAGAAGACCCTTAAGCCAGTATTCATATCTCTAACACATGAAAAATTAAATGGATAATTTCTACCTACAACGGATTTATTTTTGTGGTGGAGAATTTTAAAGAATTGATTTAATTAGTTGTAACTATACTCAGAAGCATAATTTAAAATAGGGTTGAATGAATGAAGAAAGTTTTTTCAAGCAGAGGGAAAGTCTTCTTAAAACTCCCTTTTGTTCGTTACTCAGCAAACATTTATTAAGCACCCACGGTTTGCATGGCAATGTATCACATAATGAAATTTTATCCTGACATCTTTCTGTTTTAGCTCAGGTAGTTAATTGAATGAGTTCATTTCTTCAGCTGTTCTTTCAAAGTATGTGGAGAAAGACTACAGAAATTAAATGAATGAGTCCGTCTGAAAAGAAACGTGGACTGGCATATTAGGTTTTCTTTGGTTTTATGTGCTAAAAACAAGTTGCTCGTTAACTATCCTATTTCTTTAGGGGGGCTCAGGAATTTAAAAATAATCTTATCTCAGGGAGTGAACTATATGCTTAACCATGAGTTTCTAAATATTTACAGACATAAGAACAGCAATTTGCAAGATTCTACAGATATAGAAAGAAAAACAACACAGTACATTTAGCTAGAGAAGGAGAAATGTATTTCAAGGGCTTGTTTCCATTTGAAAAGTAAATTGAGACTTAGTAATATATTGGGTTATTGGGAAAGTCATGATGCATTTTTGCATAGAAAATATGTCATGACTTTACTGACGACTTAATAGAATAGGATGCTCATCTCAGAAATGGACATTTGAACTCATCCAGGGCACTGGTTTTCAATATTTTATATTAGAGTAACTGGATTTTTAAAAATATAGATCTTAAATTCTCATCTCCAAAGATTCTGACTTAGCTGGTCTGGAAAGGGCTGGGATGTGAGGCAGGTATACATATACAATATTTGTAAAAGTGCTCAAGCAGCCAAAGCTGAGCCCCAGTGACCTAGTACAGCCTCAACATTTTTGACATGATGTCCCTGAGGCCTTGAAGAATAAGTAGTTTTCCTTAGGTCAACACAATTTCATTTTAAGCTTCAGAGTCAGACCTACATATCCAAACTCCCAGTCTAGGTCTCTCTTTACTAAACCAGCTGTCTCCATTTCTGCTTTACTCACCATGTCTGACATCTAATTACCAATTAGTAGTAGTTAAGAAATGTAGGATGCCTATAGTCTATGTGAGAAGCAAGTCCCCACCTCTTAACCACCTATGTGCTTCCTTTCTTGCTAAGCACAGAATATATCTTCAAATGATTATGATGACACTATAATGATTAACGTAGCTGTTTATTCCACATTTTTTTAGAGAGGTTTTGGCTATAGGGTGCATGTGCTCGCCAGAAAGAAACAGAGAGAAAGAAAGTGAGAAATCACCCCCCAAGGGGGATGGCCACACCGCAATTCCTTCTCCTCCATTCTCCTCTCCGGATCTTAGGCTTGCACGCATATGCTCCCAGCATGAGTTTAAGCCACCAGGTCCAGGACTCAAACCACGGTCGACTACATGGGAGTCCAGTAACATAGCCATTACGCCAACTGCTGGTCCCTGTTTATTTCACATTTTGAAAAAGCTTCAGTTATTTGAAATTTTGCATCTATAAAATGCATCATTCACATTTTAAGGCAAGTAAAATAGATTTGTTACTTGAATCAAGTCCAATCTAAGATTTCATTATTAAGTTTATATATCTGAGCACATCAAAGTACTCAGATGCCAGACTTGATTTTCTTTGCCAACTTCCTTATATAATACTGTTAGATTGGCTTCTTTCACCAAATTCTGAAAGCTCCATGCAGGTAAAGCCTTTGTTCAATTTAATCAACTGTCTCCCAGCACCTACTACACTCCTTGCCATAGAGTCAACACTCAGTAATTAATTGTTGAAAAAAAAATCCTTTAGTACACTTGGTTAAGAAATGAAAGAATACCTTTAACTTGTGTAGGACAATCCCATATAAATAAAAATACCTGAGAGATGCCTTTATAAAGTAGTAGTTTTATAGTATTGGGTTTGTTGTTGTTGTTGTTGTTTTGCCATACGATGTGTGCACTTGCTGGAGAGAGACAGCGAGAAGGAAAGTGAGATATAATCCCCAGGGGGTATGGCCACACCACAGTCCCTTCTCCTCCATTCTCCTCTCAGAATTTTGGGCATGCACACACCAAGCTTTCTTGCCTTTGAGGAAATATAACCACTATTATTATCTGGAAAGACAAGAGTACAACACTTCTGGTGACTAAAAGGGGTGGCATAGTATTGTAGAAGGCAATGTAGTTCCAAAAGATGATGATTTGATTAATGGCTACTCAGAACCAGATTTTTATTAAGCAGTCATTTCAATCCCACCTTTCCACCATTTCACTCCTCCTTTTGACCCAACCACACACCCCACTCACATACCATACATTTGTCTCTAAAAGCAATTTTCTCTTTACACTGAGGAATGAATGCAAGTTTTCACTCTTTTATCTCATTGATGAAGAATATTCAACACAAAATTTCACTGACATCAGCTAATGTGATCAAAGAATTGATGTTAAAAATTGGCATTGAAAAAATTAGCCGTGGTGGAAATACACCAATAATAAATATTTAATTTCTATTATATAATTACTATATAACTCTACTATATAAATAGATGAACTAGCAGGTTGAAAGGAAAACAGGTGTATATTTAAGGGGTTAATCTTAGATCCAACATTAACATTAAAACCAGACGGGACTAAGAATGAGCCACAATACTGAAACTTCCTAACTCAGGATCAGGCACACAGCAAGAGCTCAGTCAATGTTTCGGAATAAGTGAGTGAATGTCCCTCTCACAAATTTACAGTGTAATGTTGGGATTTGGAGAACTTGGCTTTAAAATAGCCTATTTCAGGGGCCAGCAGGTGGCTTAGTGGTTAAGACACTGGACTCCCATGTAGCCAACTGTGGCTTGAGTCCTAGACCTGGTGGTTTGAAACTCACACAGGGAGCTTGTGCATGCATACCCCAAATCCCCAGAGGATGGAGAAGGGATTGTGGCAGGACCATCCCCCCAGGGGGTAGCTTCTCACTTTCTGTCTCTCTGGTGACTACATGCACCCTATAGCAAAACTGAAAAAAAAAAAAAAAAACAAAGAATTTATGGATTAATAAACTAGACTTTGGTCAAATCAGTACTGAATATAATGTAGGTGTTTCTGGTTTTTAATTCATTAAAATGACCACAAAGTCATTATTCTTACCCTTAATTTCTCAGTCTGAAAAGCTAATGAACTCTATCTATTCCATGAATAATTGAGTTGAACTTGAAAGAGAACTCTCCATTCCAAAAGCCTCCCACACGACCAGTTAGCTGTGATTTATTCTTTTACTTCTTTAGAATTTTAAGCATCTTCCATCTAAGTTGACTGACAACCAATCTGTGCTTCCTCTGTCTTTGTTCTCAAAGGAAGAAGATGTTACTCGTGAAAGTCGTTTCAATTTCAGTGGTTACGGGATGGGTCACTGCCTCCAAGTGAAAGATGGAACAGCTGTCAAGGCCACACCGGCCAACCCGCTCCCACAACCCCCAAAAGATGCAGATGCCATCAAGAAGAAGTTTGTGGACCGGGCAAAAAGGATTGACACAATATCTCGAGCTGCCTTCCCCTTGGCCTTCCTCATTTTCAACATCTTTTACTGGATCACATACAAGATCATTCGTCATGAAGATGTCCACAAGAAATAGATATGCGCTGCAGACCCTGGGACCTTCTTGCCTAAGTGTTGTGCTTGTATATACACAGTGAAATTGTCTTTATATCACTTTGACAGAGGAGAAGATTGAGGGAGGGGGGAGGGAACATCATGGGGTGGGTTTCTTGGCACCTACATGATAAAAGACAAGTTATGCAGGCAATGAAGAAAACTGCACAAAATTAAGGTGTTGCAGAATCACGTGAGCATAATTCTCTTCCATAGTCTTTAGCACTGTTCTTTCAGATGACACATCAATCAGCCATGATATGCAGTGTCAGGTTCTCAAGGGCCATTTGCCTTTTGATTTCGTTTGGTTTTGACAAATTCTGGTACTGAAAAGTTAGCTGAAAACACACACACACACACACACACACACACACACACACACCCCAAAAATGCTTACCATCTGACCATAGCAACTAGCCTACAGTAAGTCAAGGACCAAACTTTTTCAGGAAAATGCTGCCTCATTTTTAAATAAGCCTCCTGAGCTATGTTCTTTACAACATCTGTAATTAGTGTTTCACTGAGAAGTCCTTTTGTGGGTCATAAATTATTTCTACGTATCCAGAAAACAACAAACACTAGATAAAAAACAAATTTCTACTTTTCTGTCTGTATAGGTGTGCATTTTAATATTTTTTTCTTTCCCAGATGTAATTTTGGGATTTAAACTGTGTATCGTGTAATTGGTTTGATAGTCTACCCTCTTAAAATATATGCCCAATTTTTTCAGATTGGTTAGCACACTATATAGTTTTTCTTGTTGCTTTGTCTATATTTATGTGCAACTTTAAGTGCCCAAGTGTGACTTAGCCATTGCAGCTACTCAGCCATAGTATTTATGGAGATGGTGTGTCCTGAACAGTGTATTCAGATTAGCTTGAACTTCCCATTTCTGCTGTCATTGTAAATGTAACTACTAGTTCAAATGTCAACTTACCCATGATTTCTACTGTCAACCCAAGTGAATATCATTTTAAATATCCTTGACTAACTTAAAGAATTTTAAAATTGTACTGTGATTTTCATAACCCGTTGCCTTTTTGGTACCAGAGCTACGTGGTTTGAATCCTGGCTACATGTTTTAAGTAAGAAAAAAAAAAAAGACGTATTTTTGCTTACTCAGATAAAAGACAACCTGTAAAAATATAAGGAAATAATTAAATTTTACATGTGATGTAAAAGGGGTTATTTAAAAAAAGCATTTGTTCAATTTCAATAAAGCTAAGTGTGCCACAAAATTTCTCTAGGGTCTTTCCATTTTTGCACTAAAATATAAATAATGCAGATGGCAATGATAACCTGGATTTTTGTACCTGTGCTTCCTCATAAGTTTGAATCACTTATACAGTTATTACATTATTGATGGTTAAAATAGTTCCATGAAGAAAGAAAAATATGTTATTCTCATTGTAGAAATAAGGGGATTAAGGCATTTGTAGCCACTGTGAACAGAATCTAATACTGAGTATTTTCTATGAAACATGTAAAAGTTCCAAGAGTACTGAGGAATCAGAATCTTAAGGTGAAAAGAAACTGAAGAGACCAACCCATCTACCCATCTATCTACCTATCCTGATTTTTTTCAGGAAAAAATTCCAAGAGGTTCAGTGAAGTAAAAGTAACTCATCTTGACCCATACAGATTTTCCCTAACCAAAGATATTCCAGGGCATCTATCTACCTATCCTGATTTTTTTCAGGAAAAAATTCCAAGAGGTTCAGTGAAGTAAAAGTAACTCATCTTGACCCATACAGATTTTCCCTAACCAAAGATATTCCAGGGCAAATATGGTCAAAGTTTATGGCCTTTATACCTATTCAAACTTTGAATGATTTCCACAGAGCAAAATATCACAAAGTAGCTAAAAGCATGAATTTTGGAGATAGACTAGTTTGACTACATATCAAGAATGTGATGTCAGATAAGTTACCTGACTTTTCTGAATAGTTCCTATTTCAGAGATTCTCTTGAGGACTGACTCAGAAAAATGCAGGTAAAGTCATTAGCACAATGTCTAGCACATCATAAATTCTCTATAATTAATAGATAATACAATATTAAATATTACAAATAGTATTGGTTATCCACTGGGCAAGATTCTTCACAATGTCTAGCCTTGACAAGCTTAATGCCATGCTGTTTGCATCCTTCTGAAAATATTATTTCTGTCTTATTGATACTCCTTTTCAAACAGATAAGGCAAAGTCTTTGTTTTCAATTCTTTTCTTCCCACTGAAAAACAGTAAAATTGAAGTTAAATGTCTCCCAAATATGGGCCTGACCCCACAGATGTCTCAGGAAGAATTCTGATATTGCTTGTGGCAGGGTAGAGAGACACTTTGGGAGAGAAAGCCTTAAGCTAAGTGGCCATATTTAGTCAATGTTTGTAGCATGTAATTTTTGGAAAAGCAGCCCTCATTAGAAAGTTGAAAAAATATTCACCTCTAAACACATCTGCCAGCCTCATAAGTAGGCAAAACCATCCTGGATGGCAACAGGGCTTCTTGACTTTTCTCTGGTTCTAGCCCACATTCAATGGAAAGAACTTGTAAATACACCAATTTGGGTTATAGAAACAAGAGCTCAGGGAACATATTTTGAGTACCACATACTCTGGCAAAACAGATAATTCCCCTATAATGTCACTGGAGATTTTATTTAGGACATTTTTCTTTCACAATAATATTTGAAGGAAAATAGTTCAAGAGTAAAACCATAACTCTGAGGAAGAGATGTTACTACATGCTTTCATTAGATTGGTAGCTCCTGGAATAAAGTAGCTATGTTTACATGGGTTCTGCACAAATGCCTGTTTTCAATGCTCAATGGATATAACTACTATCACTAGGAAAACATTGGTAAAAGATGAATTACTGTGCCTATTGACAGAGTTATGTAAGGTTTCCCCAACCAAGAAATCACTCGAGGTAATCAGCTACTGCCACTATTTTTCAGATGTTGGATTGCAAGGGATATGTTTTGTAAATATTTTTCAGTTCTTACTACTTAGTTTTAAGAACGCATTGGAGGGAACCAGCAGGTAGCGTAATGGCTATGTCACTGGACACCCACGTAGTCGACCGCGGTTCGCGTCCCGGACACAGTGGCTTAAAACTCACACCGGGCACATGTGCGTGCGTGCCGGAGATCCCGAGAAGAGAATGGAGGAGAAGGGATTGCAGCGTGACCATCACCCCTGGGGGGGGGGTGATTTCTTGCTTTCTGTCTGTCTGTCTGGTGAGCGCACGCGCCCTATAGCGAAAACCTCTCAAAAAATTTTAAAAAAAAAAAAAGAATCCATTGGAAAGGGGCCAGCAGATAGCATCACTGGACTCCCACGTTTCGAGTCCCAGGCCCCCACATGGCCAAATGCAGTTCAAGTCCTAGGCCTGATGGCTTGAAACTCATGCTGGACGAATGTGTGTACATGCCCAAGATCCTAGGAAGAGAATGGAGGAGAAGGGATTGTGGCATGGCCATACCCTCTAGGGGGTGATTTCTCACTCCCTCTCACTGTTTCTCTGAGTGTGCACACCCTAAGGCAAAAAACCTCTACAAATAAAGAACAAAGGAACACATTGGACGACTTGGGGTCTCAGACTCCTTACACCATTTTCAAATGCCTAAGGTCTAAACAGATCCTACAAGCTAGACTGGTGATAGATTTTTTACAATGCTTCCAAATAGTGTTAGCACTAAGCTCCTCATCTATGCCACTAACAGAACTGCCAAATTCTGAAAGCAAAATTTCTAATAAAGATTAAATGAATATCATTTTACATTTCACTTACTCCATTAATATCAAATAAGTAGTTTCTAACCAAAACATAGTACAAAATTTCATATCATATGACTCACAGCTTTGGAAAGAAACAAAAAAAAAAACCTATTCAGAATTTTTAAAAGGATTTAGGTATTGCCTAGCTTAAGCCTGAAGCCAATTTGTGGGATGAATCTAAAGCATATGTCTGCCAGATATTCTTATTTTAATCTTTCAACCTCTGCTTTAAACTTGTTTATATTTTCACCAATTTTGTTTTCTCTCCTATTTTAAAGTATAAAATTTGGACAATTCAAGTAATATATTGAGCTGTTGGAAAAGTCATGATGCATTTTTACACAGAAAAACATAGAAAAAAAATGTCATGACTATTCTGATGACCTAATATATTCATAGATCACAAGGTAGAACTAAAGGTAATACCACAAACTCACATTCACATGGTGCTTTTGAAATAACAACATATTTTAATGTCTTCAATAGCACTTGATTCTAACAAGCATCCAAGGTGACCAGATCACAGAGTTTCCATCCTTCAACCAAAAGATAAATCCTTTAATTAAATGATTTGTCAAAAATTATCTTTCATACTAGAGGTTGAATATCTAACACAATTTGTTTTTTGTGTGTTTTTGTTTGTTTGTTTTTTAAATAAAATTTGCCAGTGATCCAGCAGGTGGCATATTGGTTAAGGCACTGAACTCTCACATGGCCAACTGTAGTTTGAGTTCCAGACCTGGGAACTTGAAACTCACACCAGGCATATGTATGTGTGTACCCAGAATCCCAGGAAGATAGTAGAGGAGAAGGGATTTTAGCATGGCATCCCCCCTGGGGGGGGATTGATTTCTTGCTTTCTGTCTCTATATCTCTCCAGTGAGTGCTCACATCTAATAGCAAAAATCTCTCAAAAAAAAAAAAAAACTGCCAGAGATATGTGAAGTCACCAGAGAGAGAGAGAGAGAAAAGTAAACTGAGAAAGCACCTCTCCATGGGGAATGGTCAAATTACAATCCCTTCTCCTCCATCTCTGCTCCTTTCAGGATTTTGGACATATGTACACAAAAACTCAGTGTGTTTCTCAAGCTGCTGGGTCTGGGACTTAAACCATGTAGACCACCATGTGGGATCCAACTACCTTAACCACCATGTCACAGCTGGCCTCACAATTTGTTCTTTAACTCCTCTGGCTATATACTTTCACCATATACACACTGTCTAAGAAAAGGAAAAACTAGAAAGTAAAAAGTCATAGTGCCGCTAGCCCACCCTTGTGTATGGCCAAAACTAAATCAGTAAAGGAGGGCATACAATGGAATATTTCTGATGAAAATGTCTATGAGAAATAGCTAAAAATTGTGCATATAGCATTAATAACATCTTCAAATAGAGTCAATATCTTCTGTGACTGAATGGCCCATAGGCTAGTGGGACTGAAAAACAAACAAACAAAACAAAACAAAAACAGAAGAATTTAATTTAAGAGGTGTTTGTTTCCATTTTTGAAGGGATGAAATGACTTTGACTTTGTCATATATGCTCCCACAAGAAAAGACGCAATATTCCTACTGTGGTGAGAGAACATACACAAATGACTAATGTATTGGGTTGTCAGAAAAGTCATGATATGGTTTTGCATAGAAAAATATGTCATGACTTTTTCAAGGTTGCCTCAACCTGAGGACAACGTGTTGTTATATTTTTTTAAATGTATTTTCTTATTTACATTTAATTGTCATAATCTTTATGGCATACAATATGGTTTTCAGAGCATGCATGCAGTGTGCAATAATAAAATCGGGTGATCTTTTAGACTG